TCACACTTTTCACCACCCTGATGTCTTGAGTAGCCGATGCCGGGCCTTAGCCAGCCTGAAGACGAACTTCTCTGCGTTTCTGCTTTCCAACTTCTCGTACAAGGCGTCCATTTCCGTGTTCTTCGCCTTGGCGACAGCAGCCTTAGCGAGCCTCTTGCAACTCTTGTAGCGAGGTCTTCGGGGCTCCGGGTCTTCTGCCAGCGCTTGTATGCTTCCTTCTTCTGCTTCACGACTCGCTGGACCAACGCTAACGCTCTCTATGCTATCTAATAATGATTGTTCATCACTAGGGAGTGATTGTCGGTGGGCGTTCCGTGCCATCACGGCCGCGGGATGGCAATGCTACATCGCCGGAGACTTATCATTCGATGCGAGTTACATGTTGGTCCGCACCCTTAGGGGAACCTACCCAGTCTTTCACTAGGTAAGTTCCCTTTCTTCGACTTTCGTTCTTATCAAGAAATTTTTCTTTGGGCTGCAAATCGCCTGAGCTTTCTAAAAGGAAAGCGAGTCACAGCGCACGGAAACCAAGCTGTTGCGCGTTCGCTGACCCACGCCGCCTCTTTGGAGTGATGCCATCTTATTTGCTCTCTACATATGACTACATGTGACTAACGTAAGAGGGTTCTCATCCACCTCGGGCACATAGAATATTTATTAAAGACAAAACCTGATAAAGTGGATGCTCATTAAGGAACAATATGGGAATGAAGAGGGTAGAGGAACGCCTGAGATGGTTGGTGCTTCTACGACAGAAGACGTTCAACCAGCGGCGCAATAAGGCATCAGGTAAGCCACGAAAGCCAATCCCCTCCGGTACTCAGGCATGCCCACCACCGACATATGGAAGGTGTGATGACGGCAAATTGTTCGAAATAAAACCGTTACTGCCGTCGCTAAGTTTCCTCTTCTGAGCGCTCAGCCAATGATGCGGTGACAGCCTATCGCTGTTGGTATAGTGCCAGCATTAGCTTCCCCAAACAACTTTTACCGCAGCTTAAACTCGTGCAATTGCAGATGAATGGGTGAGAATGGAAGCCCGTTTCTCGGTTGTTTTTTTTTTCTTGGCCGGTTCTCTTGAATTCTTTCTAGAAGGCGCACCGTTTGCCACTTTTACTTTCACCTTTTAACGGTATCGAATTGTCGCGCAAGCTAACAGTTGCAGCCCTGAATTACTTTGAGTGAAGAATTTTTTTACTTCTTTTTGTAATGGGCAGGAGCAATGGCGGCTGCAGAGCAAAATTCTGAGAGAAATACTGTTTAGCGACCATGGCAGTGACTAGTAGAAGTATGTCGGCGCCGGAATGACACCGCCAAGGCCGAAAGGGCTAAAGCAATGACCACTGTGTTGACTTCTTCTGCGAAAGGGATGGGTTGCGACTACATGGCCTAGACTGCTCCGCGCTATTCGTTAGTCTTCTGATTCCCTTCTACTGCTACTGTTTGGGCCTCAGTGACGCTGATGGCAGTAGTAGCCCATCAAACTGTGTAGATCCTAGGGAGCTGTGAAGCAAATCCGAATGGAATATTCTCTACCCTCGCAAGGGTACCATTAGAGGCAGCGGTTCGTTCAAAAAGAGTTCGAAGGAAAAATTAATACGTAGTGGCGCTACTCAATGTTACGTCGGTGGCGATAAAAGCGGAGAAATCCGTCAAAAATGCAAAATGGGATATCCTTTTTTTGCCGTTGATTTCCACCCATGAACAGGCGAAAGCTCAGAAAGCGGTGTGTGAGCGAGTTCAGCGAAACGCTTTGTAACACCATACGATAAAAACTGCCTCAAACAAGTAGGGCTCCATTGTGCGCTGCTGGCAACACGTCGGTTCAAATCACAGCAATAACTACTGGCCGGATGCTTTGGGAGGCGGAGTGTTTCGATAGTCAGTCTCACTGACGGTTGAAGCGCCACGTTTGCTTATCCTGAGCAAAACTGAATTCGTGTGTTGCATAATCTTCCCTCGAGAGCTCCAATTGATCTATTCCGGCCTCAAGAACGTACTGAGTGTAAACGAGAGTCTGGTTATCAATGTATAAGCGTCAAATACTGAGAATTTGTATGTACCGTACTGAACATATTTCTGAAAATGCCGAATAACTAAAATTCGAAGAATGGAGAGACAGTAATTACCTCCATGAGATCTACATAGATCATTTCGCCTGGAATGTTCTTCTCCTCTCGAGCTACTCGGATTAGCCTGAACACCCAGTTCATTGGTACCCAGTATTTCGGATACGTTGTCACAATCGAATCGAAATCCTCCAATTCTTTTTCTGTCATTAAACCTGGAAAAATCACTATTAATTCTTCACCTCCTCAATGCGTAAGAAAGAAAATAGAAAATACTGCAGGGTAAAAATGAAACACCAGTCATGCCAAACGTTGCCCGGAATTTCTGAAGCAGTGATGGCCAGGTATTTTACATAAGTTATGAACTTCACAATCTTGGAAGCCGCGGAAAGCTAGTGAGTGGGACAACATTGCCCTCAGGGTCCTACCGGGTTTACGCTGTATCAATTCCAAAAAACTTTACAGACTAGTCCAATTTTCTCAAACTTGATAAAAACAGGGGATATGGGTAGAGCAAGCGTACTAGCGATAACATGCATGTTGGAGCTATGTGCTGATATTGCTAATTATTTGCTACCAAGGAGGAACCTGTGGTAGTATCGAGCAGTAAATGGAGCATTCTTACTTCTACTCCATTCTGAGTCTCATGAAAAATAAAAAACTTATGGGAAATGGGTTGTGAGGTATAGTAGGAGGGGGCATCCACCAGATATGGAATTGAACTCATCCCAGTATCAACTGCCATTTTCCTATAAAAGACACCTGCCCAGTGATCCATTACCAGCAGGTAAAGGCAGTGAACACAATGGCTGGGGAGTGGGGCGGTTTGAGAAGGCCGTTGGTGACCAGGGTCACTCGACCATTGTGTCACTGCCATTAACCAAGTCGTACCTGCTTGTTAAGCCTTCGTCTCACTCACCAGATGTGACGAGATGGTTCATGGTAGGAAAGCGTTTTCGCACACCAGCAGAAACATCGCGAAACACTATCGCTTGTGTCAGTACCAAGTACCGGATCAATGTACGACGTATCATGCGAGCTCTCTCAGTTTTACCGAGCACATACTGAGTGATCCATAAGGCTGGACTGAAAATTCATTGCACAATTGACGCTGTCTCATCAATACGATTAGGCTACATATTTACCAGTTTTTTTACCGGAGTTATTTTTACTTCGTAATGATCGAATGTCAGATTGGAGAAATTGTGCTCGAAACAAAAGAGGATATTGCGCGCTTGCTAAGGAGGACGTGAGCGAGGGAATATAGACTTATAGTGATTTCGTGAACAACGTGACTTAAAGGCATGCCCCAGGATCACATTGGTGTGGCTCTTGCACACGAATGCGAATGTATTGGTGCGAAAGTGGGCCGGCAGTAAAGAAAAAAGGAAAAGAATCCGTCGAAAACGCTTAGGTTAAGGGCTCACTCACCTTCCTAATCGGCTGTGCTAAGGGAATGAGAGACTAAGCGCGGAGAGGAGAGTATGAGGCGAGAGAGCGCTACAGATGAGAGAGCGCCAGACAACAGCCTGATAAGAGAAAAATCTGCAGCTTGAGCAGCTTACTTTGCAAGGCCCAAGCGCTCTTGTCGGTTGGTTTCCGTGCACGGAGAACGCCACATTTGTGATTGTGCGAAACCGAAGATTTTGATTGTCGCTCTAGGCCAACACACCGTAAAGAAGGAAATAAAAAAAAAGAAAAAATAAAAAGGCTATAGCTACAGACCGCACACACAATTCACATGCCGACGCGCTGTCGCCCGCCTGTTAAAGAAGAGCAGTAATCTCCCGATGAAATCTACGCGGAGTTCTTCCTGCTCGAACGAATGAAAGCAGGCATCTGTTTTTCTCTGGATGATTCTTGAACAATTCTTTGATCGAAAGGCCGTCGATTTGGACATCTCAGCTTCAGCATGAAAAGTTTCTTCCGTTACTCCGCAGATGATAGGTCCGAAGCCCGCAAAGGCGGGTCATTTTTGGGCCTGCCCAACATGTCACAGAAGGCGCTAGGGCTTAGACTTTTCTTACCTCTCCATCTCGCATGGACCTGGCATCCCACCGATGTCTGCAACTTTATTGTTGCGCTGACACTGATTTATGTTTTGTCACCCTTAATCATTACGCAGTACGGGTTCCGGGATCTTTTATCTGGCTCCCCAGGTATTATCGCCTCTTCGGCTTGAAACGGGGAAGCTCGTAGTTTCGCTTTTTTCGTCGATTTCTTTTCAATTTTCTCGAGGCAATAGTCCGTGCATGGTTCTACTTTCGACACTAATGGTGCTGAACAATGCGCTCGCCTTTAGTCAAGACAACTAAGAAGTGTGACTGAACAAAAAACTCACCTTTAAAAGCCGCGAAAGGAGTTGAACGCTTCCGAAGTGGGCGTGTCGGTCCACCGATCGTAAGCCCTCTCTTGCCTAGCCGTGGAGATCACGTGATTGGCTGCGAAGACATTTGCGACCGATTTGGAACCACAGAAAAACTTATCTAACTCGATCTGTGTCCACACAAGTGCTTCTGGCCAGCCACTAATCCAAAGTCGATCTCCACGCTACGAAGGGCTTACGATCCGTGGCGACACGCTCCACTTCAAAAAATCAACTCCCCTATTCACTGTTTTCCAAAAGAGTTATTGCTCAGTCAAAGTCTTAATACTCTGACTGGGCTCCCGCATCGTGACACATTACGTCGCAAAGTGGAAACCTGCGGACTAATTGCCTTAATATCATCAAGTACTTGAATTTGATTTGTGATTACCCTTACATCCAATACAGCTTTCTGGCCATCACTTTGCAGAGCGCTACTCTTTTCTCCTCTCTCGCCTTTGCTTTCTGGAATTTTTCGTGAAACCATTCTGCATGGCGTTCGGGTTAAGACCTCGATTAGTTAGTCATAAGTTTACCAAAGACCCATCTACGTGAGCAGTTAGTGCTTAAAAGCAAGTTCGCCGCTCAACGTGATTGAGGTAAATCCAACTCAAGACGTGAAAGTAGGAGTGGGAAGTTGACCACCAGCAGAGAAAAAGGAAAAAATTCTTGAAATACAGAAAAATACGAGTCTTTTGCTCTACGCTGTGAAACAACGTTCACCAGGCGCGGGTAGGACAGGAGATAACCCCAGATGATGTGGGCGCGATGAGTCGGTAGAGAACGTCCGAAATAAAACAGCATAGCAGATCAAAATTGCGGTGCAGACAAGATATCGAGCGGTGGGCGGAGCGTGGCAGTACTGGTAGAGCGTGCCAAAGTCCTCAGCGTCTGGCGTCTTAGTGACGCGTTTCGAATAGGAACGTGGCCCGTCCTTTGCAGGTGCATCCCGCGCAGTTCTAGACACCGTAAGGTCTTTTTAAGTGGGTCTGAACCCGAATCTTGCCTTTAAATAAATAACTTTCATAAATGAAAAGAATAAAACCGAGAAGAACGTACGTGTCAATCCAACCAATATTATCGAATATTTGCCACCATCGAGTAAAAACGGCAGATACATAAAAACCTAGCATAAACGTAATAGGATAAATGAATGAATATGTATCAAAAAATACACAGAGATCTTCGAAAACCCTGCAAGAAGAAAGAGTTAATTTATTTGAGATCTTCGCTTGATCCGCGAATGTTTGTACACCTTCCCTCAACCAACTGGTTAACCTGTTAATCAACTATTGGACTTTTCCCTTATTTCCCTAAATTTTCAAGTTCTGTCGTAAACTACACCTGAAATTCCGAGGTAGATTTCTTTCCCCCCCTGATTCCGTATAAACTTCGTTTATGCGCTGTTAGGGCTTTTTGGCGCCAACCTCTGCCTCGCTTGCGTTCCCTGAGTGATGAGGTTTCCTTATCCTGAAGATGCGGTGCTTAAGGGTAGTGATCCACGCCTACGTCTACTTAAATGGGACGTATGGTAACGCAGGATTGAGTTCACTCTATCATCCTCATTCATCCATAACGCGAGCTTCCCCGCTCTAGTACTTTAGCTCTGTTGGCGCAACATCTCGCTAGCAAAAGGCATCAGCCCAGCATTTCAGAGGCGCTACACCAAAACGACACGCCACCAGTCTAATATTCGGAATCTAGGCACCGAATTACCCCAACAGAATAATTTGTTGAACCACAAGCCTGCGGCGCTAGACCGGGCTAACAGGCGCCAACCGCAAAATGAGGCCGATAGCTCTCATTTTGCAGGACACCACAACAACTTTTGTTTACTTCCATAACAAAAGTCTGGTGTAGGGATTGTAGGAGTGGAACAATACCAAGGTGTCATATTCTTTAAAAAAAAATTTCATGCTCAAATGTTCCCAACAAGTGTGAGATCATTTATTTCGCCGGTGAAATTGTTGTTACAGTTTACACAGTTGATGTTCGACTTGTTGCCCTTCTATTATTCTGGCTGTCGAAAAACAGGTTTGGTATACTCCACATTGAGTAAAGCACTTTCAAAATAATCCGTTAGGAAATTTATTAAAAACCTACTCTCTTTGCGGTTTTGTCTCAAAACGGCCCTATAGAGAATACTGAGTAGTGCGTACAGTATCAACCAAACCAATAATTCGGCCCAAATCGATTTCCATATTGATCCCTGAAATATTGTGAAACCGTATTCTACCTTATGTATTATCCCAATCTTGTCCGCCTATGAAGGACTAGAGCAGTCGCCTCACTCGAGTCTGAGGCGAGAACTTATGACGGTGCGAACAACGTCATTTGGCGACTAGATCCCGTCAGTGGCGCTACAGGGGGAGGGGATGAGGTTGGGCCCCGCTTTTACCGCATTTTGCCCAGCAACAGTCCCAGCAAGGCCGTGGGCGTGGTCGGAAGCGACTTTTATCCCCTCGGCCGATTTCAACCACGCCCACTTCAGCTCCCACCCTAGCAGCTTTCCAAGGTAGTTTTCGTTCAGTCATATTTCTTGCATTCTTGCTAGGGGCCGAAATGCTCCAAGTGCGAATCGGCCGACGGGGATTGCGCCACCCTGCTGTAACTGATCTTTACCGTTCCACCCCGAGCTTTCAACACTGCCTGTGGCCCGACCCTGGGCGGTCTCTGCCAGGCCCGCCGGCCGCAAGCTCCAGGTCTAGCGGCGACGAGCCGATTAAAACTGCTCTATCACCTCCAGCGCCATCGTGATTCTCGCTTTAAGCATTCCCTTGGGTCACATGGCTTCTTTTTTAATGTGCACCCCTACAGAAATCGACTCATAGCAAGGGTAAGAAAATATTTTTGTCAAACTAACCTTCCACCTGAATAACAATCTGTACAAACAAAAGAATGAAGAATTAGCAACATCTAGCGAGTAAGTGACAGTCATTCATAAAAATTTCGAAGCCAATTTCTGAAAACTCCTATTCGAGGAACCAATTTTTTGAAACAGTCCGGCAATGCGCTGCTGAATATAACGGTTGGGTACAAATGATGTACATAAAAAATGAAACCATCTAGCAACACAAACAGCGATCCTCATCCACGGAGACCCTTGGCAGGAGAAATCAACACGAGGATAGAAACAAGGGTTTTCTGGCAGGTTTCGATGAGATCTTACATACACCCAAACAAATCACTCGAATTATTTTCTCGCTCGTTCACGGACATCTGAGCCGCACACTGGATGGAAGTTTCTGAGGAATGACTTAGTAAACTGACTTTGCTTTCGTATTACAAAGCACCAGCAGTACACGTGGACGCCCCTGTTTTGACCTAACGTAACCTGACCCATCGTCTCACTGCTTGTCACTCCACCTTTTCTAGAGCTTTCTCTCATCCACAACACTGCCACTTATCAGGTCTTTATCCTTAACATGATCTCACTGATGTTTGCTCCTGTCTTTTTGTAAAGAAAGTATATACTGCATACAATGGCGTAAGTGATTGAAGGCGTTAAAATTTGTTCGAAAAATTCCGAAAAAAAATGTTAGCGCAAGGAACAAGAGATAAGATGTACATACTACATATGTGTATGTATTGTCGCTAGGCCTAAACTACCTATGAGCCACCATCCCATTTATACCCTTTTCCCCATTGTTCGCTTCCTTCAACGCCATTCTGTAGCCCCGCATACATTCAATCTTATTGCTTTCTAAATTGGCCTACGACCTACAACACCATGAATATCTCGAGAATAGACAACACATATTAGTCCGGCCGGCAATAGCTCGTAGAGTCTACCAGCACAAAATCTGATATTTTCGAAGAATGTACGCGAACAGGGTGAAAATCGTGTCGAGGAAATAACCGCCTCTTTACGACCCCCCTCCAAAACATGGACTCTGATACGACCCCTTTTTGTCCTCTGCACATCCGGTTTCATATCAAAAAATGCTAGTTTCAGATGTGCGAGAGGGACGCAGCGCCGCTGCCACGCAAATGCGGCTTGATCCAAATGCTAGATTCAATTCTGCTCAGATTAGGTTCTCCTTCTTTCCTTTAAAGACATTTAACCTTTGCCACATTGGCCGGAAAGTAGAACATTGAAGGAGGCACTGCCCCTACACAGTTGAACAGTCTCGCGCTCCAGTATAGCGGCGCTAACTACCCGCGATCGCGTCGCGCGCTGTGCCTAGAGCGCGCTAGTTGGAAAAATCGTCAAATGTACCCCCTATTTAAAGGACTATAACTTTCTTCATTGATAACCATTTCAAAAAGTGAAAGCAGTTTTTAGAAGCACATGACGTCCGCTTATAAATTTGCTCACGTTTCTAAGCACACACCTATTCTCGAGAACGGGAGAACGTCGAAGAAATTGTCGCAGGAGATTGAAAATCGGAGGAAAGCGTTGTAAAGTAGAAGATTCACGCTTTCTGACAGGTGCTCCATTTGTTTCGAACGCTTTCTAGTTCGCGAGAAATCTGCGTCGAGGAAATGTCAAGGAAATTTTCGAAGCCACTCGAAAACTCTATTACTCCCTCGCCGTAGTAGGGGACTTCTTTGAAACCTTCAAAATACTTCTATACACGTCAGTTCGATGGAGTAAATTGAAAATGATGCACTTGGCGCGGATCCATTTCCGTTCCGTATGCGCCATGCAGTGACCCCACTCGGACCCCACTCGGAGTCATTGGGAA